ATATTCAAAAATATTCCAATTGTACAACCCGCTCTCTTTTAATGTTTACTTTCGAAATCACTGGCTAAGGGCCAAAAGAGATAATAAATTTAATTAGTAATCAAGAACGAAAAGAAAAGTTAAATTATTGTGTTTTCAAAAGTGCTAATATAGAATGGGGTATATACATTTGTTTATTGTGCATTTAAATAACACAGTTGAATCTTTATTTTCATGAACTTTTACGAAAACGAAAATCTTGAAATACAGCGCAGGCTTTTCCTGGCTATGTAGTAGACATTATAACTTTTCCCAAATTCATTTTTGTTTGACAGTAGAAAATGTCATGCTTTGCTATTTACTAATTTCATATTTATATAACTGTCGTTTGCACACTGTTTAATTCGATTTTGTACAGTGTACTTAATGATTCTGCTTTGATTACATGAGAATAAAATGTATACCCACCCATAAGTTTCGTTTGTTTTTTTCATTCTACATTATCTCTTTTGAAAACACAGTAATTTAACGTTTATTTTCGTTCTTGATTACTAATTAAATTTATTATCTCTTTCAGGATTACAAAAATATCACATTTTCGTTCTACTATCTCTTACACAAGTTCTATAAGTTTCATCTAGATTGGACGTATCATTCGCATTTTATAAGAAAAAAACATGCTGGTAACGCACTCACATAAGAGTCCCTCGTCAATGAGGGTGTTGTTAGAAATAATTAAATTTGTGCGAATCAATTGATGATAGAGACATGCATTCAAGAGCAAGTTTGTAGAGAAGAGTTAGGACTATTTGATACTAAAAAACATTTTTCAAAGTCCTGTGTGCCTGTGGAGGTATAGTCCAGATATAGCGGTAACGCACTCACTCCTCAAAAGTAAGTTTTGATTATTGAGCAACTTTCTGCATTTTATTACATTTTTGAGTTATGAAATAGCTTGTTTTCGTTTTATTTCAAAGTCCTATAAGTTTCATATAGAAAGAAAATATCACCACATATCTTGTGTATACGTTTTTTCTCACTAATACTCTAGAAAAAAATTGTCTATTTGTTTGTTGAATGGCCATATATCCGACACTCGATCACATCGTTTTGTACGACAACAATACTATGCAACTTCTGAGTGTGTTTCACTGAAGTTGTGCTATCGAATAACGATTGTAATTGTATCTTTGCGCAATCAATTTCCTGTTCAGTGATTTCATCAAGGATAATAGAATTCGTTTTCGATTTTGCGATATTTACGAAGTCAGAAGCATTTTTGCACCGATCCTTGCCAGTCATAACATGTTGCCAAACCATTCTTTTAACCACTCCACCAATACCATCTACCACGCCCTTTCCGTGACTAGTGGCAAAAAAATTCCATGACAAATCCAATTGATGATCATCAGACATGCGTGTCAAATTTCGAAACAAATACCGTTGTTTGAATTGACTGGCTGCACCGTCACTGAAGAAAATGATATGTTCCAATGCTGGCAGATATTGTTTCAATTTCTCAATAATATAATTGATACATGTACTGACACAATATTTATCGTGACTGACATTGTTCGATGGTAGTGCGAATGAATAAGTACTACTTCCACATCAAGCGTATGCTGTAAAGATCGCGATTGATTTTGTCGCCCAATGTGCTGATTGAACTTCATCTTGTTCTTCTAGAGAGAAATTTTCACTATAATCAACTTGCACGACGATTTTTTTGTCGTCTGCAGCTGATTTTGATTCCTCAAACAGTTTACTCTGTTCACGTTTAATGTAAACGTGTAATAAGAAAGCTTCGATTTTCGACAGCAATAAGCGCGTGCATTGTTCAACCGATCCTTGTTGTTCTTCTTTGGTAGCACGTCCATTGATGTTACTCCATTGACACCATTTGATTTGAACATTTTTATCAATAATATTATTTTCAATATGAAGTTCGAAGTTCTTTTCACAATGAGAACAATCGGATGACATACAATCATAGTTCGATTCGTCACAGACAAGAGCCGATGTAAATGATTGCAAGCCGTACAGTTTTCGAGAAAATCTCAGATTACTGTGTCAAAGATATCACAGCGTTTTTTTTGGACAGGCCGTAAAGTTGTTTTTATGCAAACTTCTAAGAGAACATATTATTCAGTATTCTTAAGCTTCAAATTCTTTCAAGAAACAAACAAGTACAAGTACAGTAGTTGTACTTAACAAAAAGCCGTTTGAGGTTCTTTTAAAATCCGCTTTTTATGGAGTAGAGATATATTATAATGATAGAACCCCATTAAATGCAGTAAACTAAAAGTTCAATTGTTTTTGCAGTGGATTCGTTTAGATCACAAAAGATAAACTAATGAATGTTGGTATATATTCCAGTGAATTTTCAGGCGTTAATGACGTTGCAACCGAGAGTATGGTAATCAACTTTAAACATAGAAATGAGTCGATCTGTGAAAAGGGCGTCAAAACGAGTTTAAATCATGAAATTCGGATTGCCTGTGTCAAAAAAACCATCCTCCGGAAAGTCTGAAGCCCACCCTGTACCGTTTTGACACGATGATTTTTCCCTAACTTTGAGGGGCGTCACGTTTCACGTGAAAAATGAATTTTAGATGCAAGAAGTCGTTTTTTTCTATTCTTTCATTTTTAATCAATGTCTTTTATTACTTGAAGCCTATTTACATCGTTCTTCTCAGAAAATGCACAGTTTCGGAAAAATTTTATTTTCCCGCCTAAAAGCTTTTCCACTTTTTTTTTCTTATACGAAGGTGTATTGTTATAACATGTGCTCAAAATCAGCAGCTATATGCAGAATTTTCTGCTCGATTCGAATTTATCAATTTTACTGAGCGCACGCTTATGTTAAAAGAGCTACGGCCATTTTACGGTAATGTCGGAAAAAAGAAAACTTTATTTTTCGGCTATATGAAACGATTTTAAGCACTGAAACAATGCTCATTCGATAGAGGAGGTAAAATCACATAGCCGGTGAAATTTTGCGCTTTCCGTCATTCCGAATTTCCTTCTTTCTGACCGAAATTGATCTTACCCAAAAAGGTATTTTTCAAGCGATGCACCTCAACTTACCGCTGTCAGAAATCTGATACTTTCAGGGTCCATCGGCAGTAATGCAGTATGATCGCAAAAAAAAACGTCGGAATTCCTTTTGTTTTAAAACTGCGTGTCCAGGTCTCGGCGATTGATTGGTGAGCACCGAAGATTTGTAGCTAGCTTTGTTCTCGAGCTATTCGGGAGGTCTCTCCTCCCGTTGTTTTCCACCAGTTTGTAGAGCACAGTTTCAAGTATATATTCAATTTTTTCAATTTTCGGACTTATAGTTTTTTTTTCGATCTAGGGAAGAACCAAATTTTTATGATGAAAGAGGAGCGATCAGGAAATTTTTTAATAGTAGCCCTGTGCTCAAAAATTTAACATCATTTTTTTAAGTAATTAATTTTTTTCTCAGTCAAATTCTTTGAGAGCAGGATACAATCGAGAAAAATTGAACTTCACACCAC